AGTTGAGAGGGCATGGTCTGTCAACAGGGGGGGCGACCATATACATATATATATATATATATATGGATATATGTATTAACTATACGTACATATGTATATCCAATTCTCGTGACTGTCTTGCCTCCTTCGGCGCCAGTGTTGAAGCATTCGTCTTCTGAAGGAGCAAGCTGCAAAAGACTGGCTGGCAGCTGCTCACAGCAACGAACAGAAAGCGCGGGACGAACGTGCCACAGCTCAATATGTGCTGGGGTAGGTGGCTTTGGGTGCCTTGGTGCGCACACTGGTCATTGATCACAGCTAGTACTGCAACTCCTTGCTCTCGTGTCAGGTTTCTTGGAGAATGCACAGGCCGCCCTACTCAGAGGGTCAAGGATCTTCGGCCTTCAGTGTGTCGTCCGCGACCGTCCTGAGAAGCAGAGAGAGCTAGTGATGATTTCCCGCACACACGGCTCGCTGATCTCTTCGCACAGGTCGCAGCAGAACAAGCAGCCCAGCAGCTCAAGCTGCCGCAGCGCTACCAGCCGCACGGTTCAAATGGTTTTGATCACGGATTTGGCGCTTGAGCTCACCTGATCTGATTTCCAGATCTTTCACACCAGAGCTGTGGAGCTTTGGTTCACGCAACTAACCGAAGGCATCAGGCACGCTGTCATAGGCAAGGTCACGCTGTGCTCAGGAAAAAGGACTGGAGGCCCGCTCCGTGCAAGCTTCGGGAAACCGGGTATGGGTGTCACCTGAGCCAGAGCCCCGATTGCGCTTTTCGAGAAGACTGTTTTATCATTTCACAAAAGACTGATAGAGCCGTGCTAGGTTCTTTCTGGTAATAGGAAAGCGTCTCGTGAATTCGAGCTGCTTCATGGCCTTGAAATCTTTACTCTGGGAAAGATGCCAAGCGACCCTGACTGCTTCGAGGCTACCTGCAGGTGAATCTCAGTAAACCTTCAACTTTCCAATGCATGAGTTGTCGCGGGGGCTTCGAGGGCTAACCGACCGGTGTCGAAAATCTTCGATGCTGAGACTGATTGGAGCGCACATGACAGAGATGTCAGCACGGCAACCACGATCGCACCTGCCAGTACAAGCACATCTGCACGACCAGACAGAACAAACAGTTGCAAACCAACAAATGTTCGACATCGCTTTCGCCTAGGCTGGCTTTGCCCCCGGACCCCTTGCGGCATTGGGCGCCGACAGCATCGCCGCTTCATGGAAACAGTTGATGTTGTGCTAGGTCATCAGCTGTGGTTTACAGGGCCGGCAGAAATGCGATATGAGAGAAACTAGGGTATTCTGGAGGTGCACTGGCGGTCAGTGATCGGCACTGCTTGAGGTATCCTCTGCCTGCACAGTGATGCAGACTGCCGTGGCCACGCTTCCATTGAGATGTCGTCGTGGTGAAAAAAGATCATGTGTTGTGCGTTGAATGCAAACGTGGTCGATCTTGCCTAAGTCATCCTTCAAACAGAGTGCTTGCACGTGGCACACCCAAAAAGCTGCAATGGAGGCTGGCGGCTGTCGGTTGCGCAGCTGCAGAGATGCTCCCAGAACGGAGCCCAGATGTGCCATGCTAATTTTGCGAACGTCTTTTTGCAGCCCTGTCTCCGGGAGTCGGTATAAGGTTATGATGGAGCGAAAACGAGCAATCCACGGCTGGCGCCGGCCTTGAAAAAGAAACATCTACGACCTGATGGATAGATGCGGTGAGTACGCTGCAGGTACGAAGACGGCATTGCAGCTCGTCCTGGCTTGAAGGGCACCTCGGCCTTGTTGCAACTCTTGCGTCTTGACATCATCCTTCGGGCTTCTAGAAGCATGTCGCACAGGCTTTTCTAGCAACTTTCGCCCAGCATCCACGTGCCTTGCCAAATGCCTTACCTTCACCGGAAAGGTTAGTTAACAAGTTTGCAAGATTGCCCAAGATGCCAAGAGTGCAAGGGCCTCTCCCTCCGCTGCATCATGCGCGCGCAGACTGGTTGAACATTTCTGGCTTGTCGAGGTGTGAGACTACAGCAGGCGTCCGAAGGCCAACACAGTCTTGCAGAGCTGTTGCGCATACGCATGGACATTCGATGAAGGCGACGATAGCGTTTGGTGGATAAATGCTGCTCTGCTTCCAGACGGCTTGAGCGGCGAAGATGTAACTTGGCTGAGGACTGGCAGCTTCAATCGCAGGATCAAATCAGAGCCCGGCACAGCTGAAATTCAGGTCGGCATGCAGCTGATGAAGAGCTTTCCTGACATCGAGATCAGGCCAATGCGCGCGGTCGTAAAATTGGCTTGCCGAGTCCCTTCTGTGCTGCACCCCGGGAGTGGGTGGCTTGAGAGGCCTGGCTTCTACCCGCTGAACAGCATGGCCATCTTCCAGTCTGAGTGGTCTGCCCCCCCCTTCGCCCTGCGCGGGAGTTCCCTGAAGTTCACAAGCTGTAAGCCCCGTTTCACGCCCCAGATCCTTCAAATCGAAGTACGTCACCACGGGTCTCACTGAAAGCCCGACGGTAAACCCCACTCCTGGCCCAATCTTCCAGCTTGTCAGCTGGCTGAAGTTCTTGCAACACAACTGCCAGCCGGCAGGTCGCGACCCTGCAGCAAGCTCAGCAGTGGAAGCCGCGCTTCCTTCAGAGTTGCCGTGGGTTTCTGATGCGTGGGTAGCTACGGCATAAGCTCGTGTGTGCCGGATCATCCTTTCTAGATGGCATTCCCTTGGCATCTTGTGCCGCAAAAAAAAGATCATGGTTCCTGTCGAGGTCCGAATGCGGAGCTGCTCTACAAGAGACTGGTTTGCCGTGCTCTTAGCTCTCCTTTGCCTCCTTGTCGATTGTTGGCACTTCCTTGGAGCTAGAAAGCCGACCCAGTCCCTTGTAGAAACTGGCCAAGTACTCGTGGCTTCTTGATGCGACATGGCAAAGCGAGTTGACTGTTGCACGGCAGGCCTTCCCTCCTCGAACCAGCTCCAGAAAGACGACGTGGAGCGGGTCTGCGATGCGCATGGGCCCCATCCCACCATGATCAAGCCCAGTAGAAGTCATGGAGCTCCCTCAGCCTGAGGCTGGTCGAAGCCATCCGTGCCGTTTCCGCACCTACGCAGTGATGGAGTGTTCAAGTCCGTGCAGTGTGCGGCATTGATGCAACAGAGTGGCCTTGAGCTGCTAGATGACACGAAGATAGTGTGGCCCACCATCATCTGCGGACTTGTACAAAAGAACTTACTGTCAGGAAAGTCCATGGAATGAGGGGTCCTGCGCAGGGACCAAGGTCGAAGCTGTTCATGCATCGGTTGATCCTTGCGGAGCGGCTTTTGATTCCGTGGCTGCAGCTGTGATCCATGGGCCAACCCATCCAATCCCATCCATAGGCCAGATAGGGGGTCTGGATCTGACCAGCTGAAGCAGCTGGAACCGCACTTCCTTTATGGGTGACATCCTTTTAGACGAACCTGGTAGAGTTCCAAGTGAACAGCGTATGACTTATGAACGAGACGAAGAAAGTAGAGCTCCCGATCCAGTCATTTTGTCCGGAAGCACTTGCATGGCTGCCTCGTTGTGGTTACGTGCATCTATGGCCCCGAACAAGGTGGGCTGCAGGCAATTGCTTGCACCAAGTGAACTATTACACTTTGATGAGAATGTCCGAGTCGCTCATGCAATTGTGTGCTGTGTCCCAATCATTGGGAGCAGTTTGACAAAGGATTGGGCCTGTAGCCTGTGCAGACTATCCGCCGATCGTGACTCATGAAGTGATTCTCGTGCTTGCTCCACAGTTTAGTATCTTCCGGCTTGAAAGTGCCCAGGCCTGAGGCAGCCAAACGTATCACCCTGTTACAACCAGATATTCGCAAGTTTGAATGTTTCTCTGCTTGAGTGTACAGCTCCGAAAATGTGAATCCTTCAGGAAATCCATAGGTCACGCAATCAGCTTGATTTCCTGGAAGGCTTCTGATCTCTTAGGCCGAAGAGTGCAGTGTTGAGCCTAGTCAAGGTTGGGTGCAGCCGTTGCGTTACAGAGTGTAGCATTGAAGAGGCCTGCCCCTAACTTTGGGCTCCGCAGCCGACCAGACTGCCGATAGAGATCGCAGTTTCAAGACGGGCACTCGCCTGGCTTGTGGAAAGGCGAGTCTTAGTCGCGAGCTCCGCTTATGGTAGACTTGGCCAGGTTGTGGGGTTGCAGTCCATGGAGCAGCTTGCTGCAAAACGCTTCGCTCCATGTTTCGATCAAGTCGACAGAAGCCGGTCAGACTGTATTCCATCCGCCATGCACGGGCCGTCCGGCGCACATCGCAAGCCAAGAAGTGAATTGAACCCGTCGATCCTACCAAAATTCAGGACTCCTTGCTTCCACCAAGGGTTGTGGCTTCAGCATCCACTGAAACTTCATGAAACTTCAATGTGGACTTGGAGGTGCGTGTGGACTGGACGGGCTAGAATCCTTACCGTAAACCCCTACCCTGTGAGTCGTCGAGGACGAGCAAACTCGACGAGCACCCCGCAAGCTCCGCCGCTCCGCCTCGCCTCCTGCGCCATGCGTCTCTGCCGGCTATGGGGCCGACAAGGCAAGGTCGGCCGGTGGGCGATTCCAATCCGTTTCTTTGGCAGACGACCCAAAAAACTGAGACAGTGCGCCCACGGGCAGACAGAGAAACAAAAGGGAGACACATTGGAATGCTGTTGTTGGAAGGTGTGTGTGCGTGCGTGTGTGTGTGTGTGTGGGTGAGTTGCTTTGTCCAGCAGCACCTTACGAAGACTGAAATACATATACCAGAAATGCTTGTGCACATGGTGCCATGGAAGTCGTTGGCATCGTAGTTTTGGGTGGTGGTTGCGGAGCCCCTGCTAGGCACCAAGAAAAGAGATTGGTGAGGCAAGATGGTCCGCATCTAGTTTAGGAGGAACGCTTCATACAGTGTTCACTTTGCGAGCACAACAAATTAGGGGCGTGCTTTCGCCTCCACCCTCGGATAGATGCAGCGGAACCTTGCAATCGGGGTGTTGCTCAAATTGATTATTGTTCGGGGTGCGATGTAGATAGAGGGTAAGCAGGTCAGGGGTCCCTGCAAAACTGTGTTTGGCCAGCTCATGAAAATGGCATTGGAAGAAGTCTCCATAAAGGACTCCAGCTGACAGCAAGTCAACATGCACTCGACAGGGTGGCCCTGGAGGCCGGGTCCAGCAGATACCGAGAATCGCAGCCTCCCAGGAAGTCACATGAAAATGTTGGGGACCGGGACTCTGCTCCGATCATCGGAGTAGATGGCCACATCCCTGTCTTCAAATTCTCTCGGCGCAGCAGTCGACTGCAGAGCCGTGAAACATGTGAGCTCATTTGTAGTTTTTGTCTTCCATTTCCGAGGTAGTGGAGTGCCCGAGCATTCCGCCCTGGCGGTAAACCATAAGTGGCAGCTGACACGCGGATTGTCGAAGCGCAAGCTGGGTACTCGATGCATTTCAGGTCAATGTAGTGGGAATTCGAGAAGACCGTTTCTCATACTCACTTAATAGAGTTGAGCCGTATAGTCAGTGAAGACTGTTGAGTGACGCAGATGTCATGTGATGTTGCAGCTTCCTTGCCGAGCAGGACCCTGGCAGCAAATCTGGTGTCGTCCTTAGTTGAAAATGTTGATGCTCCGCAGTTCTCGTTTGAAGACGTCGTCCGCTTACGCGCATGACGGGCCACAGCTTACGTGATCTTTAGTAGAGAGCTCAAGATCGTGAAGCCTTGTTCACTTTCTCCACTGCTAGAAGACGCTAACCGAGCTTCCAACATCGCATCCCGACAAAATCACGGCTGCCACGGCCACGGCGAGTGGCATCATGTCGATGTAATGTGCACCACGTGAGCATGGGCGGCCTCTGGGAGGCGCTTTTCGAGCTGGCACCGATGCCTTCGACACTTTAATTGCACTCCGCTTCTTCAAGCGGTCTTGCGCTTGCTTGGAGGTGGTGGGTGGCCTTGACAAAGGCGGTGTGCTCGTTCGGACCGAGGAGTCGGCAATCCTTCATGGTATCAGCAAGTTGCACAGAGTGCAAGAGCAGCTGTGCGGCATCATGTTGCATCTCTGTGCAGACAACTTCCAGTCGGCCCTTACACCTTGCGCAGGAGAACAGTGCCAGCATCAGGGTAGGGCGCCTCTCAACAGGCTGGCGGGGGAGAGCCCGCTGTCCGCAGGGAGGCTCCAACAGAGTTTAAAGTTCTAGTTTGCAGCTGACGCCTCCATGAAAGATCTGGGTTTTAGCAGCTGAGAGCTGGTTTGAGTGACGGTCCACTGAACTTAGTCCTTGAAGCTTGCTAGCTTTCAGGCGCCTTGCTGGAGGAGCTTTCCCAACTTGGCGGAGAGCTCCGCACCTGTGCTTTAAAGTGTGTATGATAATCAGACAGGTGTGATAGGATAGCTGTCTTAATGCTGACGTGACAGCCGTTTTTGGTTCATTGAGCTTCTGGACTCTTTGACTTTGGTCTTCAAGTCTGCTGATTCCGGAAAGATGACCTTGAAAAGCCGGCTCGGCAATAACAATTTCTACTTCGGTTTGCACACTTGGCTCCGGGCTGCATGTCCAGAGCAGCAGGCAAACCTGAGAAGTAAAAAACATACCACCACAGTCCGAGGTTTCCGTCGCTTAGCGGGCCAGGGCCCTGCAGAGGGATGGGTCCCCCTGAAGCGGCACAACGAGGCGCTGACAAACCGAAGCCATTCGGAGTTTTCCGGACCACCTCCCCGATTCGCTTCTGTCCCTGAGAAATACAAAGCCCACCACCGTGAGACACCCTAAGCCTCAAACCCCCTAGATCATGGAAAACCATTTAAAACCCGAAGACAAGAATTCCCTAAACCCTACGGCCAACCAAGAACCAAGACATCGAAAAGTCTGCATCTTATGATGGGTCCGGCTTGCAGGTGCTCGTGAAGCAGCCCTCCGACGTTTGGCAGGTTCTTGGAGGTGGGCGTTCACTTCAGGTTTTGAACTCTTGGGGCTTTAGGGTCCGGGATGATTGTGGGGTGTTAGGGTTTAGGGCGCTGCTCAGTGTGATCTTTGGGTTTCGCTGGAGGAGACCTTTCATAGCAGTCTTTAAAGGCTTGGTGTTTCGTGCGCTGTGGTCCATTCACTGGAGTAGACAGCCACCATCTCGTGATTTGGCGTCCGTGCGAGACATTGACATGAGGTTTCGAATTTACCACTGGCACGACTAAACCCTGAACCCTCAGCCACCAAACCGTGCAGGCCAAAGCAAGGGCGGTGTGCTGGTGCGAGAGGGCTTTGAGCCTTTCCCTCAGCTCCGGAGCTATTCCCCGCCTTTAGCCTCGAAAAAAAGATAAACAGGTACCCACAGTGGACACAGTCTCGGTGAACCATGGAGGAAACCAGGTCCAACCTGAATGTTTGTGTATGTTTGTCGGACGAAATTGGCTTGAAGTCAGAGTAACTTAAACGCCGGCCAACATCTCTTGGCTTGTTTGGTAGTTGCATAAGTGCAGGTCATAGAGCTAGGGCAGCTAAGGGTTCTCTTGCACGAGCTGAGGACCAGCTCGCCCTGTCTTTCCGAAGCTTGGCCTTGCTCAGATCTCCGGACATCTGCTGCTTCATGAGTTCAGAGCTGTGAAGCCCTGCTTCAAGGAGCGCCTTGCAACAGGCTCCCTGGTCAGGCAGCTTGAGCAGAAGGACTGTGTCAGTGTAGAGATTCAAGCGACGCTCGGAAGCAAGAACCTTATGTCAATGGCGAACACGGTGTCAGGACGACCGTCTGTACTTCGCTCGGCTGACTGGCTCGGGGCCAGAACGTGGCTGGGTCAGCATCCGTGCCTTGGAAGCGAACGTGAGCCTGGCAGAGTCCACTCATGTAACCTACCTGCGTTGTGGAGCTCCTGCCGAAATCGACAAGTAGCGTGTCAAGGAGCTCGCACCTTCTCAACTTCACTAATCCGTGCTCTTGATTAGTGGAGGGGGGGGGGCCCCCTCCCCTCCTAGAATTAGCAGACCTGGAGCTTGGCCGGCGTAATCTGGGAGGGTGGACAGGGGAGCCAGCAGCCCGCAGGCGGCAGCCAGCAGGCAGCTGGCTTAGTAGTAGTAGTAGTAGTAG